TATATGTGGCAGAATCGTTGGGTAGTTCCTTTTTTTAAAATTTTAACCAGTGTTATTATTTTGTGGTTGGTTGCTTGGTTGGATTTTTAAGATAGGATGTCTTGTAATACAGGCTGGCTTCCAACTCCCTTTGTGACTCAGGATGCCCTTGATCTCCTGATAGCTATGTCTCTACCTCTCCAGATAATGGTATGTGTCACCATACTAAGCTTGATCACAGCTTTTAAATATAATTAACAAGACAGCAAGAGTGAGGCTGCAGTGGGATTACTTCCACTAAGCTAGTAAGTGACCCCACACTGCACATGAATAATTCAGTAGCATTGAAAGCTAGTCATGGTGGTACACACCTATAATCATAGCATCCTTGGCTACATAGTAAGTTCAAGACCAGTCTGAGATACATAAGAACTTATCTTAAAAAAATAAAAATAGCACTGAAATTTACCCAGAAAATTCTACAGAGTAACTTACATATAAAAAGTAAACCAATGAAGATAGAGGGATGATTCAGGAAGTAAAGTAATTGCCAACCAAGTATCAACCAGATCCTTTCACTCACTTAAGAACCAGGTGCAGCAAAGTGACTCTTTAACATCACTGCTAAGGAGTGAGACATGGAAGAGACAAAACAGATCCCTAGAGTTCACTAGCCAGTCATTGTAACTCTATATTCAATTAGAGACCCTGCCTCAAAAACTAAGATGGAGAGCCACAAGAAAACAACCAACATCAATGTCTGGCTTCTATATACATGTTCACACATGTACATGTACCCACACGGGCACATTAACATACATACATATACAAAATAAATTTTTAAAGAAGCAAATCAACTGTGGATTCCTTAAAAATTACAACTGCAGGAGGATAATGAGAAAGTTCAATCAGTAAAGCATTCACTTTACTATGTCTATGAGGACCAGATTTTAAACCCTAAAACCCATATTTTAAAAAAATACAATTTGGGGGGCTGTGGATATAGTTCAGAGGTAGATTGCTTACCTAGTATATTCAAGGTACTAGGCTCAATCCTTAGAAAAGAGGGAGAGAATGAGATTGAGTAAATAAATACAATCCTGGACTATTTGTTTAGAAGAAAATAAAGGACCAAATGACCACTTCTAGCAAATATATATTATACAAGCACATTATTGAAGGAGAAAAATAAATACCCTGCCTTTCAAGATTAGATTTATATTTTTTAAGATATGCTACTAAACATTATTTATTGCAGCATATTGACCAGCATAGAGATAATGCCAGGATAAATGAAAACTAGAAGGGTACTGAATGATGCCTCAATGAGGAAAAAATTAAGCAAGGGCAAAGGACATGCCTTTAGTACAGCACAGACATTGTAAATCGCTATGCAAATATAAAGCACATTCTTATCAGTGCACATCTTATGGGGATGGTAGTTTTTTCACCTCCTCTGTCTCTGATGCAGTATATACAAATGCTACTAATACTATTCATCCCATTCAGTTTCAAAACCTTAATGAATAGGGGCCATGTTTCAGTTTTCTCGATACATTTCATATGATCCACTTGAGTTCTCACTATGGTATTAGTCAACTAATGCTATTTACTAGCTTTGTCAAAGTCAATGGAGAAAGAAGACTGCCCTTACAATTTCAACTAATGTTGGGAAGCCTTTGTAAAACCTCTCGCACTGGACATTGTCTATCTAAATTCTGTAAAATGCTGCCTACCTCTAGGGGAACACAATTAATGGTTAAGGTACTGCAAGCCCAATAAGAATAATGTTATATGATCTACTTCACTTTAGCCATACAGCAGCTATTGGTAGAATGAGCAAAATGACCATTTCTCAAAAGGAAGAGGAGGAGGAGGAATCGAGGGAGGAGGAGAAAGAGCAGCAGCAATCTACAATGGTGCTCACACCTGTAATCTTAGCAGAAGGCAGGCACAAAAGGAGAATTCTGGAAGCTCAGGAGATAACATGTGAGGACTTATACAATGAAATTTTAGAAAATTATTAAAGTTGTGAATAAACTGGGACTTGAATGCTTAGATTAACTAGAATTTCAAATCTTCATACTAAAATGTAAACTGTGGAAGCTTAAATTTGAAACAAAATAAACTATTTTACTTACAGAATGTTAGGAGATACAGAGATGTAAAAAGAGAAAAAATATAGTGAATACATTGTTTTGTTTTTCACACGATTTGTGTGTATGTTTGAGAGAGGGAGGGAGGGAAGGGGGAAGGAGAGAGAGAGAGAGAGAGAGAGAGAGAGAGAGAGAGAGAGAGAGAGAGAGAGAGAGAGAGAGAGAGAGAACATGCCCAGAGCTCAGAGGACAGCTTACAGGAGTTCCTTTCTTCCATCATGTGGGTCCTGAGGATTAAACTCAAGTTGTCAGACTTGATGGCAAGTGCTTTTACACAATGAGATATCTGGCTGGGCCAGTGAAAATGTTTAGACAGAGTGAAGTTGTATCACAGCTAGATATCCATAACAATGACTTCAATAAAGCCAATGGTATTTGTAGTATGCCTGTAACCACTTCTGCATCATTAAAAATAATAATATCTATGGCCACAGGAGTCAGGGTTCGAGTTAGGGTTGGGGTTCTGGGTGAAAACTGGAAGAGTTATGTGTTCTGAACTAGCAGTGGGAACAGCAAATGTTTTCCTATGAAGAAGGATGTCTTGACTTATAGCATAGTATGCTTGCTGGACATGGGGTATTCTATTACAGACCAAGGAAAACTGGAGAAAAAGTACCAGTCTGTTTGGGGATGTATAGTGGATTCTGAACTGATATTCCTGAACTGATAAGATACTACCATGGTTATTTATTAAGCGCTGCTTATGGTGCAAAAGAAGCCATGAGGCACGAAAAAACCCACTACATAAGAGTTTATAAAGGGAAGGGAATAGAAACGGTGTGCATAGGCCTATAAAATGACCATGCAGGAAGAGAGAGAAGGAATAGGTGGAACCTGTTTTTATAGGTACTCCCCACTGCACATGTGCATATGGGCTTACATAGCTACACCATGCATGTGCATAGATTACGTGATCACACAGCGCACAGATTACATAGGACATAAGGTCCTAGGATGACTAAGCATTTTGCCTGGCTACTGGACAGCACATGTGCAGTCATATAGCTGGGGGAGTGGCTAGGAATTCTAACAACCATTCCTTGGTAGTTGAGGCCCAAAAGAACAATTAGAATCTGAAAACTGTTCAGTCTTTCAAAGACGATGCTGCCAATTTGTTGTCAGAAAGCCGTAAATGAAAAAAAAAATCTAAGCCCAGAACCAAAACCCCCAAGATTCAGTTTTGTTACTCCAAGTGTCCTGAAATAAAATATGCCAACATATTGCTCTCAAGAAACAACACACTAAGAAAATAAAGAGAAGGCTGCAGAATATGCTAAACTTTTGGCCAAGAGAATGAAAGAAGCCAGGAACAGATTGTCCAGAGATGTAGGCTGTCCTTACTGAGAACTTCTACTTCTAAGTCTCAGTCCAGTCAAAAGTAAGAGTGCTAGGGATGGAGAGATGGCTCCACAGTTAAAAAGATTGGCTGCTAATCTGGAGAATGTAGATTCAATTCCCAGCACCCACATAGCAGCTAACAACTATCAGTAACTCCAGTTCCCACTTCTGGCCTCTGTGGACACTGTGTGCAGACATATATGCAGGCAAAACACCCATGCACATAAAATAAATAATAAAATTTAAGAGTCATTAAGAGTAACAAATAGCCAGTTGTGGTGGTGCATGCTGGTAGGATTTGCTGAAGTAGGCGGAGGCAGGAGGATCACGAGTTCGAGGCCAGCCTGGGCAACACATTTTAAAAAAAAAAAAAAGAGTAACAAATAAATGATTAGGACTTTAAAAAATCTGTCTACACAATTGATTTTTATTTTTAATGGAGCACAAGCATTATTTTATATTGTTTTTCTTATAGTCTTACTATTGTGTATGTGTGTCTGTCCATGTGGATGCCACAGGACAACCTTGGATATTTTCCTCAGGAAGGCCATCCATTTACTTTGAGGTAAGTTTCTCGCTGGTTTGGAACTCATCTATCAGGCTAGACTAGCTGGCCATCAAGCCTCAAGGATCCTTCAGTCTCTTGTTCCCTACCACTGGGATGAAAAACACACACCATTACACCCAGTATTTAATGTGGATTCTGTGGAATGAATTCAAATCCTCATGTTTACTGACTAAGCTATTTCCCTACCCTCATATTCTTAATGTCTTTCTTTGTTGTTGGTGGTGGTAGTCTTTTTTAAGACAAGGTCTCTCTATGTAGCCCTGACTGTCCTGAAACTCACTATGTAGGTAAGGCTGGCCTTGAACTCACAGGGATTCACCTTCCTCTGCTCCCAAGGTGCTAGGATTAAAGGTGTGAGCAACTACACTCAGCTACTGATGTCTACTGTAAAACTTTAGGAGTCTCAAGGTCAAATTATTGACCAAAACTTAAAAAGCAGCATTAACTCTTCATTTATTCTACTTCACAGAACTGTAGCAGAATATGAAAATAAATATTTGGCTTTTAAAATATAATTATTATGATGTACACTAAGAAATGCTACATAACAAAAATGTTAATGTTACAGTATTTGAAAGCCAAGATTTTATTATAAAGCTTATAAGATAAATAAATAAACAAAAAGGTTTAAGGTAAAATGACCTGAAGCAGTTACTGCCTTACTTGATAAAAGTTCCATTTTTGATTCTTGAATCATTTCAGAGACATCAGAGTAGCCTACATTTTAAATACATTTAAAGTATTCCCTAACACTCCTACACCAAAAGTGTAATCCAGGTCCAAAAAGAAAAAGTAAACAATCTGGCATTATCAACCTGACTTCTGCTAGACTGAACAACAGATCTTGTAGCAAGCCTTTTCTAGATTAGCAACTTAGTACTATAAGAGATACCAAGTTTTGCTATGAAGAAAAGTCACTTGGGAATTAAAAAGAAGCAAAATGTAACAAGCATACTTACTCCTTTTGAAAAGCCATGCACAGAGGGGAACTGAATCCAAAGACCAAGCACATCTGAGCATCTGGACTATAGCCATTTTGCAGTAGTATTTCCAGGCACTCTTCCCGTCCTCCAAACACTGCAGAGTAAACAGGGCTCACTTTGTCGGGTCCAGTGTCACAAGCCCGGTTAGTAAGTGGTATTAACAAGTCCAAGATCCTTCAAATATACAAATGGGAGGAATATTTAATATAGTAAATACACCTGCTTTCCTTGTTCACTATTACTTGCCTTACTACCACCACGACCTATGCTCCTAAATCCAATTTTACATTTGATATTTCAGGATCTAACAAATTATTTAAATATTCATTACATTAAATATAAACTAGCTGGGAAATGAGGGGCTAGGGATATTGCCCAGAGATCGAGTGCTGACATACTATGCTGGAGGCCCTGGGTTCAGTTCCCAGCACTAGAAATTGTATATTAACCAGTTGTGGAAACACATACCTATAAGTCAGCAGTCGGAAAATTCCAGGAACCAGAGTTACCTAGAAAGGCTCTGTTCACAAACAAATAATAACAAAAGATAAAATGAAGCACTTTCCTTCTTAAACACTAATTGGTTTTGTTTCCTTGTTAGTAAGAATTTTTGAAGATCATGAGTGACAATGAAATTAGAAATTAATGCTATAGTAAAATTCTGCATTCTCAGAAAAAAATGTAATCATTAACATCTGAGGTATATTTATAAAGAAGTGGCTGCTTTCCCTCCATAAAACACACGTGAACTTACACTGGAGGAGAACTAAACCACAGGTGGATTATCTTTGAAGCAGGCTATAGATGAAATCAGTGGCAACAGATTTCTTAAAATTGGGCACAATTAAGGACAAATTCTTATGAGTTTTGGTATCAATTTAAAGCTGAATATAACTGTTAAAAGATTTTTCTAGGTGCTGGAGAGATGGCTCAGAGGTTAAGAGCACTGTCTGCTCTTCCAGAGGACCCAGGTTCAATTTCCAGCTCCCACATGGCAGCTGACAACTGTCTGTAGCTCCAGCTGTAAGGGATCTGATACCCTCACATAGACATACATGCAGGCAAAACACTAATGCACATAAAATAAGAATTAAAGATTTTTCTAAATAAATAATAAACAATTAGAGGAAATGGATTTAAAACATTTTTGTAAAGAACACAAAATTGGGTGTGGACCTGGGAAAAGTTGGAGGAGGGTGATTATGTTCAAAACATGTATCAAAGTCTCAAAGAACTAATAATAAATTTTAAAGAGCAAGCAGAAGAAATATCAAATGCTGAAACCAAGTATGTTATTAAAAGTAAGAATCTGCATGACACCTCTTAAATATAATAAATGTGTCTACGTTTTAAAGATGAACTGGAAAAAGTATACTGCCACAAGGCTTACAAAGAACTTTGAGGACACATGCTACCTAGCAACAAAATATCCAGCTTGTGGACTCCATTTTCCTACTGTCTAAACACAATGATTATTTTGTTATTTTTAATTAAACAACACTAATGATATCTATAGAAAGTACTATTGAAGAATTATAACACTGCAAACATGATTTTTAAATCTGTCCATACTGATTTATGGGAGGGAGCCTTATTCTTATTGACTTAACCATGTTACTAACGTCTAAAATTTCCATACTCCCCAATATACATTCTCCAAAATATACTAATAATTTCCTAGGGACTTCTAGCAAAGAAAGAATAACAGAAGCAAGAAACAATACCAGACCAGAAGTGAGATTAGGCAACAAGTCTAATCAAAGGGTTTAGGATGGGATGGACTACTCATCATACACAAAAGGAAAATACCATTCCAAAAACATCAAAGACTCTTTCTGAAGACAGGGAGATAGTGCAAATTAGTAAGGCCATTACACTGCTAGTTGAAGATACTTGGTATAAAGCCAGGAGGAAAGGGAAAGGATGGCCATTAGCTGTAGAAATAATGAGAAAACTCCAGTACCCACCCCATCTCTAGCCATTCTTCCCCAAAGTGGGAAAATGGAAAATTTAGACGAACTAAGAGGAGATGAAAACAGCATAGGGGAAATGAGGCAGAAATTTAGGCATCCTTCAAATTGGTTAGAGAAAGGAATGACCAAGGATTTTACCTGGAGGTAAAGTGTGTAGCTCAGATCTACCCTTTATTTGCTTTTAATTCTCTTAATGAGACCATTTTTAGCACTTACTTTGTATGGCCCATTTGTGCAGCAGCATGAATAGGCAATTGCCAATTGTCTTCATTACAGTAAAGATCAGGATCTGCCCCACTGGAGAGTAAAAGTTCCACACATTTTATATGACCCTCTTGTGCAGCAATAAACAAGGGAGTAGCTTTGTCCGAGGCTTGACAATTGATATTTGCACCTAACACAAAACAAAACATTTAGCCAATAATCCCCATAGGTCTTTTTAAAAAATAACATGATAACATAAATTTCAAACTACCATAAAAGGCTTTCATGGTACAGCAGCTTTCACCCTTAGTGGATGCTGTTAGGGAAAATATACTTATTTTACAAACCTGTTGACAATTATTTAAATTGTTTTCGGTCTCTATCAGTAAGAATATAAACAGTCATATTTTATAATTCATTTTTAGCCAAAAAAAATCATATTCAGTGAAGGCTACTTATTACAATCCCTCTTCCAACAAGCACTGTGGGTTCAAAGTACAAATATTTTTAAGGATTTATTTTAATGTGTATTCATGATTTATATGTATGTATGCACACATCTGTGCATGTGCATGTAAGTATCCATGAAGGCCAGAAGGGGGCATCAGATTCCCTTGGAGGTGGAGTCCATAAACAGTAAGTACACCTAACATGGATGCTACATCTGAATTCTACCCTTCTGCAAGGGCAGCACATGCTCTTAGCCTCTCAAGCCCCAAAATATAAACATTTTGGAAGGAAAAGAGGCTAGATGTGTTGATAATGACCTATAATTCCAGTTCTTTGGATTCTGAGAAAAGAGGATTACAAATAAATACACTGATGATAATTCCCAGGAAAGCATAAGTTATGAGACTTTATGGATGTCACTAACCAATTTTAGACTAAGCTTTAAGAGGGAAATTACCATTAGATATATGGCTAATATATATGGGATCTAAGATTAAAAACTATATTGATTAGTCTTACTTTATTATTAGTCTTTTCTTCCTTAATGAGTATTGCATAGTAAAACCAACAATAAATTGGGATGATGTTTTTTAATGGATTTTAGTAGATTTTAAAATAAAAACTCTGTTATTTTAATACTACTATATACAGACTGGAAAAGGCAGCCAGACATGGTGGCGCAAACATTTAATCCCAGTGCTTGGGAGGCAGAAGCAGGCAATTCTCTGTGAATTAAAGGTCAGACTGGTCAACACAGTAAGTTTCAGGACGGCCAAAACTACATAGTGAGATCCTGTTTCCATAAATAAACAAACACACAAACAAAAAGATTTGAAAAGGCTGAAAATGACTTTACTTCTTGTAAAACAGTATATTTCCCTAATCTTATCACCAGCAAATAACATATTAAATCTGTTAAGATTTATGCTATCACATGATAGTGCTAATTTTTAATTTCCCAAATATATCTCAGTATAAAAAACACCATAAAACATGGGGGAAATTGACTATCTTTTATTCAAAATAATCTTACATAAGTACACCTTGAACAAGCTACACAGGGTAAATTAACGATGGCGTGGAGCATTCATGAATTGAAAACATGCTAGGCAACTAGAGCCATCTTGACTTGGGTGCCTCATCTGCTGTCAGCTTCAGAGAGAAAAACACAGTCACTAAGAAAAGAAGGAGTCCAACACCAACACCTGCTTTAAAAAAAAAAAATCAACCTTCTAGTCTGAGTGATAACTTCAAAGTATCAGAAATAATAAGGAATCACTTCCTCTAAGACTACAATGGAAAAGGATTAAAAAATAACAGACACTGAAAGTCATTTTTAGAAGTGAGTTATATAGTTACATTATAAACAGATCTTCATACCTTTTAATTATATAAAAATTACCATTTATAAGTGTAGAGAGAAGAAAAATTAAAAACAAAGACATACAGGAGTAAACATGCCCTGATTGTGCTGAAAAAAAAAAATATATTAGTTTCTAGATCTCTGGCCAGTAGTCTGGGGTTCTTAACGTTAAAACATATCATTTCAAGAAGTAATTTGAGAATCCTCTTCTTTAAGATACAGGTTCATAATTTCTCAGACACCTTCACCTCAAACTTCATTAAGGTGCATTTCTTTCACTTCCTATCTTGACTTTATGTAAAGATTTGTAAAGAAAACCAAAAATAAGAAAATTATGTCCCGTTTTTTTGGTAAGATTTGGTCTATCTGGAGGGTTGTTTTTGTTTTTTTGTTTTGTATTTTGAGACAAAGTCTTTCTATGTAGTCCTGGCTGTCCTGGAATTCACTATGTAGACCAGTCAGCAAATCTAGTGATATGTTTCTCCCTCTGACTACCCATAGTTTCTCACCTTAGCTCTGCCGGAACACACACCCTGAAAAGACTTTAAAGCCCTTCTATGATGAACCCTTCTGGTCAGAAGATGTTACAAAAATAATGCCATGGTAACACTGTCTTCTCTGGCAATGCTTCATGTGTAAGTAGTCACACAGAAACCTTTAGCTGGTTTATTCTGCCATTAACACAATACAATGCAAACATGTTTTGAATAAGCCCATTAAATAATCAGACAATTATCAAAACATAACTCTGGCCAGACCTCTGACTCCTCAGTTAAGCAGGGTGTGTGTCATTGCTGGTAGCATACTTAATAACCAGGACTGATATTACTGTGTACACTTTTATTGGCTACTTACATAAATTTCATCACCCATTCAAGAATCATTCTTCCTAGGAACACAGTTAAAAAACATGATCATCTCAGCACAAAGGCATTAGCTCTTACCAGATAAAATAAGAATGTTCAAGCTCTCTAGCTTCCCATACTGAGCAGCCACAAACACGGGTGTGATTCCAAAGTCATCCTGGCATTCTCTGTCTGCTCCGTTTTTAAGAAGCAGTTTTATAATCTCAGCATTTCCCTAAAGCACAGATGCAAATTTTAAGTTAAGAAACCTCTTTCTTGTTGTGTTTTACTTTTCTTACTTTCTCAGTAAAGAATAGCTTTAAGGAAAAAATGCAATGTCTTATTACATTGGATGAAAAGATATGACTAATCAGATTACAGCCCATTAAGGATAGACATGAAATACTGGCCTCTAGAAATTTTAACCCTTAAATCCTACAAAGTTAGATTGCAAACTCAAGCAGTAGGGACCTATCATGCTTTCTAAACATGCAATTATAATAAAATATACCAGATTCTGAGAGTTTCATAACTATGCGGCCAACATTTTAAATTTAGATAATCCCTATAGCCCAAAGCTGCTCTGGTCACTATAGCAGCTGGCTTATTTAGAATGGTTATTAGCATTTAGATTGCCTTTTCTGTGTTGTACTAATCATTATAAATCACAGGTAAGAAAGAAGCAAAAACTGTATAGAACTGTCATTTTTAAAGGGTAAGACATATAATTTACATGGAAATGAAATAATAAATTTAGAGATTACCTGGAAAGAAGCCTGGTGCAAGGAATTCCATCCACACATAGAGTGGAATCCATTAACATTTGCTCCATGTTGAAGCAACAGCTTTAGCACATCTATCTGTCCATTTTCAACAGCTGCAATTACAGAGAAATTACAGTCAGCAAGAAGACATTTGTAGGACTAGACACTTCTATGATGCTCTCATCATTTTATACACCTTGGAATGCACAATGCTACTTTCATTCCTAGACATTTATCATAACTATCTTAGCCCAATTTCATATGCATAGGCCTTTCTGCATACATGAAAAATTGTTCTCAATGATACATTAAAAGAGATAGAGGATGTATATTTGGCATAGTAAACATTATCATTAAAAAAGGAGATAGAGGAAAAGGAAGCAAGAAACAAACATTTATTCTCTCTGATAATGGTGATAATATGGCTCTACTTCATTAAAAATGCAGCTGAGTGTGGAACAGGGTATACAGTACAGAAAACTAGTCTGGAAAAGAAGTCTCAATAAATGATGGAAGGGGTTGCTAACATCACCATTTTATCACAAGTGACAAGAGTAACCACCAAAGTGAAAGCAAGTTCTACATCTTAGGAGATTTTATATGTATATATTGCCATTACTGTTGTAATGGAGCAAGGAGTCACAACATACAAGAGGGCTGACATGGGAGGTTTATTGGGTGAAGGACAGAGAAGGGGGAAGAGAAGTGGGCAGCGACCAGTCCCAGTCCCTGGGGCCGAGAGCAAAGGAAGAGAAAGAGAAAAAGACAGGAAGTGGGCAAGGCCCTCCTTTTATGAGAAAATGTAGCGAATGCACACAGGGGGTGCTCTTAGTGGCTGCAGCTGAAGTACATCCTGTGAGGACCCAAAGGGCAGGGCAGTACAGATGCCTAACTGCTAACATTCCTCTCTTTTGTTTATTATAAAAAGGTGAAGAGTTAGAAAGGGGTAGCAGGTGAGGCGGGGATGAGGACACTGTGTTCTTGAGACTGCTTCCTGCTGGCCTGGGGGCCATCAGTCATGTTTGGGGGACCTGAGAAAACTAGGGTGTTGGCCACATCCTGGAGTAGCTGGCTGCTTCATTTCTCTGTTCAGGCTCTGTGGAATTGCCCAGCACTAGTTGGATGTGGCAAGATGCTGTTCATGGTAGATCCAAGTCGACTCCCTGAAGCTCACAAGAAATCATGATGAGATCACTACCCAAGATGGAGAGAGCCACATGGTTGTTGTTAATAGTTACAGGCACATACACACAGAATTAAAGAGGAGGTGAGTAATTAATTAGAAAGGGAGAACCGATGTGTGCTGAGCAAGATGAAGCTGGCTTCTCCATCTCTGATTCACACATTGCAGCAAACACAACATTTAGAAAGGGAGAGCAGACAGACACAAGCAGATCTTGGAGCAAAGAAAAGGAAAGGCCTGAATGTTCTGGCATCCCAGGGATCCAGGGAGGATCAGATTAAGTGAGTACAAGCTGTTTGTCACAAAAGAACAGGGGCCAAGGGCTAAGAGCCAGAGAGAGACAGAGTCTCCTGGTACCAGGACTTTGAGAAAAGCTGGAAAGTGAGGAGACGACTGTGCTGGAGAAATGAAGTTTCACAGCTAGGGGAACGGTCAGAGGCAGGTAGCCCCACCAGAGACCCACTTGTTGGTACTAAATGGAAAGCAAAACTGTTGGTGAATGAGAAAGCAGATTTGTTGCAGGTAGAAGAGAACAGATCTGCTAGAGGTGGCCCAGGCAGTTAGAGACCTAGAATGAAGTAGGTACTTTTGGCAGACCCTGCCAAGTTATGACACTAAATAAACATGCCACATGCAGCAGAGTTAATGAAAGAGGTTTATTGGGAGGCGGAGAGCCGAAAGTGAATGAGTGAAAGGCTGCATCAGAGTGGGAACTTGAAAGAGACAGGCAGACAAGAGGAAGAGAAGCAAGAGAGGAAATTAGAGACAAAGAGGGGAGTAAGAGGCAAGAGAAGAGACCAAGGAAGCAAGCTCTGCCTGGTGGGCACTTTCCAAGGGTGCACATCTCCAACAGCTGGCAGTGGAAAGGGACCTGGCAACAGATCATGATATAACTGCTTTGGCAGCACAGGCAGACTGCTGCCAATGCTGCTACAGAAACCAACATTGGGATTCATTAAGCTGAGTTAGACGTATAAGATCCCAGTGTTCTTTTTTACTATCTATTTGAGAGAGTTCACTTAATGAAAGAATAGATGCAGCTTAACAGACTTTATACCTAGCAGATGAGTGGAGGAACAAAAAGGAAGAAAAGAGGGAAGGCTTAGAGCAAAGACATGAAAAAGCTTGAAAATTGGGTACCTCCTTCCAATTATCTGATGACCTGCAGAAGTAGCAAAAGTCCCATAAAATATTGGGGTCTAGAGATTTGAGGTTTTCTAAAAGACATCCTATAGGAGAGGTTGGGATTATGCTGCTAGGCAAAATCTCCATGAGTGAGGTAGAGAAACAAGATCCAAGGTCCTGAACTTCCTAGCATCCCAAGAATACAGGGAGGATCAGATTAAGCAGGCACAAGCTTCCCAGTGTATCACCACACAAAGAACAGGACAAGGGGCTCCGAGTAGGCACAAGCTGTCCCCTACATCATCACGCAGGAACAGAGACTGGGGGGCGTTGAGTCCAAGAGACAGATGGTTTGCCTGGTACCAGGGCTTGTCCTGGCAAGAGGCAAGAAACCACGGTCGAGAGACGAATCCTCACTTGTGGGAAACGGCCAGAGGTGGAGAAGGGAAACTTACCAATTGTGCCGGTGTTGGATGGAAGGCCCAATAGTTGGGTAGTTGGAATATGAGCCTGCCTTAGGTAAACTGGTTCCAGGGTCCTGGCATACCTGACTGCTGGTGGGCAGGAGGAAGCGCAAGGAGAGCCTGCCAAGTATCACGGCAGCAAATGTTGTATTTTAAAAATGGAGGAAAGGAGTCACACCATACAACAGGGCCCACATGGGAGTTTTATTCAGGGAAGGAAAGAGAAGGGGCAGAGACCAGTCCCTAGGGAGGAGAGCGGAGAAAAAGAAAGAGAAAAAGGCAGTAGGTGGGCAAGGCCCACCTTTTATAGGAAAATGCAGCGAATGTGCACAGGGGGTGTTCTTAAGCGGCTGCAGCTGAGGATATATCCTGTCAGGACCCTAAAGGCAGGGTAGTAAATGCAGCAATCTGTTAAAACTACGTTCTTATAAATCCACTGAAGAAAATAGAGTAAAAAAGTATAATATATCTCGCGTTCAATACTATCGGTTGTTGCAAGTGGGAATCTTAGGAAGTTATTCCCTGGGAGTTGAGATGGCTCAGCAAGTAAAGGCTACTTGCCATCAAGCAATGACATGAGTTCAATCCCTAGACCCTAGAGTAGAAGAAGAGAACTAACCTCAGAAAGTTATCCTCTGACTTCCACATGGATGCTGGGGAATATGAGTGTGTGTACACACACACACACAAGCACACATGAACACATGCACACATACATACATTATACACACAATAATAATTTCTTAATCATTCCCTCCACATAGGGAGGGTCTACCATAGTACTACATGAAATAAGTACATGCACACCTTCATAAAATAGTAAAAAAAAAAAAAACACTATGAATAATCACATATGTAAGAATACTAAATAGAAAGAGCTGACATGATTATAAGGTTTATCATATGCCTGGGTATAGTAGAGAAAGTTTTAAAAACAAGGTAGTAAAACCTAATACTCAGTTTACTAATATGATGCACAAAAATGCACAAACATACAAGACAAATTTCAACCACCTAAAACATAATTTTCTTATTTTTCATTGCAAGCATATACTCAACTAAAGCAAAAGGTGGGAAGTGGGCATCCAGACTCTCAGTTATAAAATAAAAAAGGCACTAAACATTTGGGTAACAGGTAGCACTTGAAAAACTGGTAGATGAAACAATGGGGAAATAAAATACTTAAAGGTATATGACAAAGCTAAGTGTGGTGTCATATGCCTTTAATCTTATTACTTGGAGGAAAACACAGGTGGATCTTCATGAGTTCAAGGCCAGCCTGGTCTACATAGGAAGTTCCAGGAGAGCCAGGGCTACATAAAGACCCTGTCTCAAAAGAAAAGAAAGTTGGGTGGGTGGTTGTAGTAGGTAACTGTCCCATGTATGACCTTGAGGTACCAGCCCCTAGGGCGTGGCCTCTGAGCCAGCTTAAGACCTGAGGGGCATGTACACAGGCCCCTTCTCTTCTCCTCTTCTCTTCTCTTCCCCTTCTCTTCCCGTTCTCTTCCCCTCCTCCCCTCCCCTCCCTTCTTCTTCTTCTTCCTCTCCCTCTCCTCCCTCTCCCTCTCCTCCCTCTCCTCGCTCTCCCTCCCCCTCCCTCTCTCGGATGGTGCATCCAGGACTCTGCAACGGACTTGCATTATCCTGTTTAGTGAGTTGTTCTCAATATATTTTTCTTAATAAACAGTTCCTTTATCAGTATCTGTGGATTATCTGCAATATCTGGCACCCCAACGTGTTGGAGAGCCATCCCCATGGCCCTAGTGGCCCTTTAAGAGTCCACCTGTCCATGCAGGCTAGCTTAATAACACGTGCCTACTAGCAAGGAACTCCAGGTGTCTGCCATGTAACCACCAGTTCCACTAATTCCTAGAGGCCAGCGGGCCCAGTCCCAGAGGCCAGCAAAAACTGCATGCCCTTTTGTGGTCACAGCTACAAGTTAGCATGCACTTGCGCTCCACCTCCCTTGCGCAGCAGGCAAGACACTCTGGGCACAGCAGTACTCTGTTCTGCTTAAGCACCAAGGCCCACAGAGGTCAGAAAGTGTCAACAGGCTGCTCTTTCTTAAAAACCTGTTCCATGTAGTTGCTTAAACCCACAGGATAAACACCTTCGGAGCAGTGATTCATGGCGTGCTTTGGCACTTCTGACACCTGCTGGCCAAACATCCCTACTACACCCAAAATCATCACATAAAAACCAGTCATTCACCCTACCTGGTTAATTAAGAGCCTGGGACACTGGGAACACCTAGGACACTTAAGGCAATCTCTCAAGGATCGTATAAGAGGTAAATTACTTGATAATTTCACACTTTAAACTGATTAATTAATTAATATGT